AACTATAAAATCTGGCCTGGTTAGAAAACAACGTATGTGACATTAGTTTCCCTATGCACTTAAGTGTTTTTTCAGATGAGCCAGAATTTATAGTTCCAAATTGCAAAATGCAGTCCAATTCCATTTCGGTTTTTCTTTTCTCTTTGGTCTTGTAGCTACCCCTACACCCTCCAAGACTTAAGCACACACTGAAACCTTGGCCAGAGTGGTGTGAAACGCTTTTTCCCTCTCCCGCTCCACCACCTACCTCGCGAGATGTTTCATCCGTTTGCTGATCACGCTCTCTTCGGTTATTTAATTATATTCCAACGAGCACGCGTCTATAAATAAATTATCTATGAGAGGAAAAGTAATAGGATAAGTAAATTACCAAGGTGGTACGCTTCGCGCCACGTCTAATCGATGAAAGAATGGATCGACGAGCGGTAGCTTATTTCAGCACTCAAGTCTGAGCGCGATGAAGTCGATGATCACGAATAAGGGAGTCCGGAAAATTGTGTGCGTGACGTGTGCTAAAGAAAACAAGAAAAAGATAATCCAACATGAATGTGTTGGAAAAGCGTGCCGAATGACTGGAATGCTGGACGCATACTATTTTCAAGTCGTTGCTGTTTATATCAATTGGTACTTTTTGCTTAATTTGGGAGATTGTTTAATTGATACATGGACGTTGAATGTAAACTAATTTTAAAGATTCCGCACGGAGAAAAAAAAATCGTGCGTGGGACCCGAAGTTTAGGTCATATGGATCTCTGAAGTTTTCGGATTAAGTATCCAAACACTTAAGGTCCAGCTGCTGAGGTTTGGATCACACATCTGAAATATCGGTTCTCACATCCGAAAAACTTCGGTTCTCACATGTGATAGGTACTTCAGATGTGAGAACTGAAGTTTCAGATGTGTGGTCCGAACCTCGACAGCTAGACCTGAAGTGTTCAGATGCTCAATCCGAAAACTTCAGAGATCCATATGACCTTAACTTCGGGTCCCACGTACGAGGTTTTTTTCTCCGTGCGTCTAATGGGGAATTGGCAAGGGTCTGAGGTTTGATGAATTTCGTATTTAAGTGGAATCTACCTAGTGAACTCGTCACGAAGATACCCTTGATTCATAAATTCAGCAATTATCAGAGGAGATATGACAATTTAACCGATTCTGCTAAAATACATGTGTTTAAATGGGAAATGCTACCGGATGACGTCACTAGGCGGTGCATTTTCTCACTTCTAAATCTATTTTTAAAGCGTTCCCCGTGTCAGAAGAAAATTGCAACAAATGCTGCAAAATCAACACTTAAAGGATGAGAAAAAAACGCTAAGAAGTGGCCCGAACTGTATGTAACAAGGTGGAGAGAAAGAACATTAAAACATATTTTTGACTCTAATCATAATTTTTATAATTCCTTGACTTTGTTTTTCCCGCAAAATGGTGTGGACCCAGCACCATTTCTTCACCTTGTTTCAACGCACTTAAAGCACTCTCGGATGAAGCGATAACAAATTTGCGTGCAAATTCTCCATTTTATTTTAAGCTGATACTTGACATTTGTGCACAACCACTATTCGCGGCAAACTGCCGTGCATCAGCTTAAAATCAAGAGAATTGCACGGAATTTTAGTGCGTTTTCATCATATTTTCATACTGGAGCTAAATTTTCACGCTAAATGATGAATTTTGCAACGGCGAAAAAATTTCGGTTTGGTTAATAGGGGTCTTTAAGGAGGAATAACATAGGGGTATCGTAATTTTGCTAATTTCACGCATGCTTTAAGTCAAAGGTATGTGGAAGCCACGGCAGAATTTTATCGACCGAAACACTTAGACGTAGTTCTGCCAAACGGTACTATGTGCATTAAGACATGAGCCCCAAGAACCATAAGCATAAGTGCATAACGGGGCTCACGTTATAATGCACGTAGTTCCGTTTGATAGAAATACGTCCAATTGAAATACATCCTGCCTCTCTCCTCACATTGGGCTCTGTGACAATTAACTTGAGAGCACATTACTTACTGTATACATGTGAAAAAATTAAACACTAAGAAGTGGCCCGAAACTGTATGTAACAAGGTGGAGAAATGGTGCTGGGTCCACACCATTTCGCGGGGAAACAAAGCCAAGAAATACCAAAAATTAAAATTAGAGTCAAAAATAAATTTTTAGAACTCAATGCGTACCAGTACGAAACTGAGGGGGGAGAGAATATTCCACTGCAAACTGCCTGAGCTGAACACTCTCCCCCCTCAGTTTCGTACTGGTGCGCATTAGAGTTCTAAAAATTTATTTTTGACTCTAATTTTAATTTTTGGTATTTCTTGGCTTTGTTTCCCCGCGAAATGGTGTGGACCCAGCACCATTTCTCCACCTTGTTACTTACTGTATACATCGATTACACGTGAGCTCTTCATTTTGACTTAAATCTCTCCTTTCAAATACTACACGCGGAGAAATAGCACAGTGACGGTCACAAGATGACAAAAGTATCGGAAATGTCGCCGAATCAACTGGAATTACCACCGCCATTCGTGCATGATCGAGCGCGGTACAGTGACGTAGCGTGCTTTGCGATATATCGATTGATCTGCCATTTAAACCTATAGAGAAGGATCGATAACGGGGTGTTCGCAACGAACACCTTAATAATCGATTCTTTACCAAAGCTTCAAATGGGGAAGTATCGAAAACCGATCATTCACGCCTCGCCGCTGGTGCGGTAACCATGACAACACTGTCGGGCATGGTGCTGCTCTTATCTCTTATCAGTGACAGCTCGGCAATATGCGATTATCTCCCTCGAAAAATTCAAGAACCCGCTGATCTTGTCCCACACTCCCGCCGAAAGACAGATTCACACGCAGCGGTTTCCGCCAGAGGCGAGGCGTGAATGATCGATTATCGATATTTCCCCATTAGAAGCTATTGTAAAGAATCGATTAGTATGGTGTTCGTTGTGTACACCCTGTATATCGATCCTTTCTACACGTTTAAATGGCAGATCAATCGATAAATCGCAAAGCACACCACGCCATTGGTTTCCTCACCATCACGTCGCGATTTTTAGAGACTCGAGCTAGGAGCGGAAGGAACCTTCCGAAAAGTTGCTCCTTTTTTCGGAACTTGGTCAGCGGATATGTTGCTTAGTGCCCACAGGCTACTCTTGCAAGTTGACAACACTGTGTTTTTCTCCATCTAAACGTATATTGAACAATCGATTCTACGTGAGGTAGCCGTTCTCATCCAGAACCGATTTGTTTAATAGATTTAATGGAGTAGTAATAGTGTTACCAACTTGCTGGAGTCACCGAACTGACATGAAAGTATTATTGGCAGTGCCACTCTAGGTTCCTAGAAGTGTTACGACTGTTTAAAAACTTTATTAAGAAAATCGTTCTCAAAGAGAAAATAACTGTAGAAAAAACAGCATAGATTTATGTTAACGACAACGTTATTTTTTTTTACATTTCATCATTTTTAGTGATCAATTAAGAGAAAAGCTTGAGAAAAAATGGAAAATTAGTCTTATTAAATGAACCAAACTTTGTCTCAATTCAAAATTTCAGAAGTGAAAACTTTAGCTGCTAAATGTCTTCCAACGCTTCGTAAGTGCAATAATTCCTCTTCTTCGCTCCTCTTTTAGAATTGTGAAAATCAAGTTTTCACGTAAGAGAAGTTATAAAATTAAAACAATGATAGTGTTTCAGTGACGATACCGCGAACTAAGATTTGCTGCATGTTGTTTTCTCTTTCTTTCCCTTTGATTTTATTCTTGCTAATTCCTTGCAAGATATTGACAGGACCAGATCCCAGCGTTCTGATTTACAGTTGGACTACATTTTGCAATTGGGAACTATAAATTCCGGGCCGGTTTAAAAACAACGTATGTGCCATTAGTTACCCTATGCACATAAGTGTTTTTTTCAGATGGGCCAGAATTTATAGGTCCAAATTGCAAAATGCCTTCCAGTTGTAAAGAACCTTTTCATTTTGACTGTTATTTCCCCGTATATTACTAAGTTGATTAAGTCTTAAGATGTATAGCGTGTGATAAATATTTTGAAAGGTAAGAATTAAGGATCATTTGGACTGCATTTTGCAATTAGAAACTATAAATTTCGGCTCGGTTTGAAAACAACGTATGTGTCATTAGTTTCTCTATGCACATAAGTGTTTTTTCAGATGAGCCAGAATTTATAGTTCCAAATTGCAAAATGCAGTCCATTTGGTAAGAGGGTTTATTCATCAAAAGAAAAGAAGATGAACAGTTTTTTATGTTTTTTATGTTTTCGACTTTTTTAATGAGATTCACCTGGCTATTTTAGTGTAAGGCATGCGGCAACTGGGTCTAGAAAACTTAGCCTTTCGTAGGGGCGGGAACACTCTACATGAAAACGACCCATCATGTCTCATGATAGTACAGGAGTTTCCAAGCGAAGTGTAGTAATGGGTATTTTTGAATACATAGAAGCTGAATTTTCCTTTCAAATAGAGAAACGGGCCGCGCCTGTAATTAAAGTCTTACGATGCAATCTTAAAATGGGCGTATTTCTGTCAAACGGAACTATGTGCATTGAGACATGAGCCCTGAGACCCATGAGAATGTATGCATAACAGGGCTCACGTCATAATGCACATAGTTCCGTTTGACAGAAATACGTCCAAATGCCTTTGTCCGTGATCGAGCTTCGTGTAATTAACAGACTTAGCAGCTTTAGTTATCGGCAATATTTTATGCGAGTTAGTTCCTCGAATTCAATCCTGTTCAAGGTCGGGAGGGAAACCCTTAAAACACTATGAAAGGATTAGAATCACGACCAAGCGGCTTTTAAGATCGAAGACCCAATAACGATAGACGCTACATATCTATTGTAACATTTTCCAAAGCAATATTTCTTTTGATCAAAACGGAAATTCTGCGCTGTGATTTTCGAGTAAAAGGGACATGCAACATCGGACGATGAAACACCAATGAAAAAATAGAAAAATAGAGGGGGATCACTAACCTGTTGATTGTTGATTCGTTCCCGCACCCTACGAATCACAAATGCCCAGAAACGATCCGATTTTACGTGGCACTGGCAACCGCGCTTAAACCCCGGTAAAAAACGCACTAATGAGAATTTATGTCCGATTTTAATGTCAAATTTTTATTAAAATTACGGTTTCCTGTGCTGTCCGCCTTTAAATTACCCAGCGAGGATATGACATTGGTTATAATGTTGGTCAAAATTTAGGATGTCTTTCGCTCGTTAAATTAATTGCAATTTTATAAAAGTTTCCATAAAATTTTGTAAAAATGAAGTCCTTCCGATTTTCATAAAAGAATAGGTTAAAATGATGATCCGAATTTGGCTGATCTGCAACGTGTAAACACAATTGAATCGCTTGTTTTTAAAGCGTTAGGTTAGAAGAGTATAATACAAGTTACGAGTACAAGTTACGAGTACCAGTTACGAGTAGATAGGAGTCAAATTTAACACAAGGTAGCCGAGATTTCGCTTATTCATTGATCCCTCTTGAAAAAGTCCACTTCACAGTCGTTCTGAATAAATCGCGGTCGCACTATCAAGAAACTCGACACCGACCTAACGTGCGAATAATTCCGGATCAACCACTGGAAACTCAACTATGAGTCGCACGCGTGCCAACTAACTTTTAGCTGAACTTTGGAATAGTTTAGTTTCCAATAGGTCAAAAACGGTTGCGATGATAAGCGAGCACACGTGTCATGCGTTGGGTTGATATTCGAAGAAAAACGCGAGAAAGATGGAATTTGTCAGCAGACTTTGGTAAAACGAACGCACATGTCAAACTGCAGGAAAAGCAACAAAGTAACAGGCGGTCAAAACTGATTCGCGAAATCCGAAGGGCAACGGTCCGTTGAGCAGCCTGCCTAAACGGTCAAAAGATAAAATTCACAGAGCTGCGGGTTCAGGTCACTTAGAGAATAACACAAGTTTCATGTGATCTCAGAATTTTGACTTGTAGATCATTCTGCTTTCAAATCGGTCAAAACTGTCAAACCTAGCGAAAAACACAAATTATCCTGGAGGCAAGAGTGAGGTTAGCGACGAGTCAAAACGGTCAAAAACAGCAATTAGCAGATTGGAAGGTATGACTGATAGGCTCACATAAAACACGATTTTTACACAAATCCAGAGGACTGTTCCGCTATTTCGGTCGAAAAGGTCACAAATGGAAGTCGCTGGACCTTTCAGCAATCATCCCAGAGGGAAGACGCGACGCGGTCAACGAGTCAAAACGGTCAAAAACGGCAACAGGTGGATTGGAAGGTCCAATTGACAAGCTCACATCAAAACACGATTTTTTCAAAATTCCGGGGGATTATTCCGCCATAACGATCGAAAACGTCACAAAGGGAAGTCGCGGTACCTGTCACAAATTATCTCAGATGTAATACAGGCTAGCGACGAGTCAAAACGGTCAAAAACGGTAATGGGCAGATTGGAAGGTCCGACTGATCGGCTCACATCAAAACACGATTTTGTCACAATTCCAGAGGATTATTTCACGATATCGGTCGAAAACGTCACAAATGGATGTCGCGGTACGTTTCACGAACTCTCCCGGAAATAAGAGTGAGTCAAAACGGTCAAAAACGGTAACGGGCAGATTGGAAGGTCTGACTGATCGGCTCACATCAAAACACGATTTTGTCACAATTCCAGAGGATTCTTTCACGATATCGGTCGAAAACGTCACATATGGAAAACGCGGTACCTTTCAATAACTCTCCCGGAAATAAGACTGAGTCAAAACGGTCAAAAACGGTAACAGGCAAATTGGGAGGCCCGACTGATTAGCTCACATCGACTTTTTCAACACGATTTTTTCACAATCCCAGGGGATTATTCCACCATTTCGGTCGAATCTGTCACAAATGGAAGTCGCGGTAACTTTCACGAACTATCCCGGAGGCAAGAGTGCGGTTGAGAACCGGCTTGAACGAGAGGCGATCGACAGGGACCCCACGTGCCGCGCGGCCGACGGTGGACTAGCACGACGCCGCGCCGACGTCGACGACGACGACGGAGATGCGGTTATCGGGGACTCGCCACTTGTGGCATGTTTATTTTCACCTTTATCGGAGCCCGGCGAGGTTGAAGCTAATAACGCGGCGATCGGCGATAACGGGCGGGCGCGCGTCGCGTCGTCGCGGGCGGGCGCACGTAAACACACTGGGCCCCGCCGACGACGCGGCGGCCGGCGTGGCGGGAACGGGGGAGGGTGGAGGGTGGCGGCGCGCATGCCCCGAGCCGGGGGTGAATAGCGTGGCCACGCCGAGCGAGGGTGACCGGCCGAGCACGCGAGGGTTAGGGCCACGAGGGTCGAGGAAAACTGGGAAGCCGCCGGGTTTCCCGGTTGCATCTACAGGGTGATCCACTTCATCCAGGGTTAACCCTCGATGGCATGAATGGAGTTGTTGCATGTGTGAGGAATTTGCGCCTTGAAAAAAAACCTCGGTGTATTTACTAAGAAGAGGGTAAAATTACCAAGAATACGCGAGGGTTAGGGCCACGAGGGTCGAGGAAAACTGGGAAGCCACCGAGTTTTCCGGTTGTATCTACAGGGTGAGCCACTTCATCCGGGGTTGACCCTCGATGGCATGAATGGAGTTGTTGCATGTGTGAGGAATTTGCGCCTTGAAAAAAATAATCTAGGTGTATTTACTGAGAAAAGGGTAAAATTACCAAGAATACGCGAGGGTTAGGGCCACAAGGGTCGAGGAAAACTGGGAAGCCACCGAGTTTTCCGGTTGTATCTACAGGGTGAGCCACTTCATCCGGGGTTGACCCTCGATGGCATGAATGGAGTTGTTGCATGTGTGAGGAATTTGCGCCTTGAAAAAAATAATCTAGGTGTATTTACTAAGAAAAGGGTAAAATTACCAAGAATACGCGAGGGTTAGGGCCACGAGGGTCGAGGAAAACTGGAAAGCCACCGAGTTTTCCGGTTGTATCTACAGGGTGAGCCACTTCATCCGGGGTTGACCCTCAATGGCATGAATGGAGTTGTTGCATGTGTGAGGAATTTGCGCCTTGAAAAAAAAATCTCGGTGTATTTACTAAGAAAAGGGTAAAATTACCAAGAATATGCGAGGGTTAGGGCCACGAGGGTCGAGGAAAACTGGGAAGCCACCGAGTTTCCCGGTTGTATATACAGGGTGAGCCACTTCATCCGGGGTTGACCCTCGATGGCATGAATGGAGTTGTTGCATGTGTGAGGAATTTGCGCCTTGAAAAAAAAATCTCGGTGTATTTACTAAGAAAAGGGTAAAATTACCTAGAATATGCGAGGGTTAGGGCCACGAGGGTCGAGGAAAAACTGGAAAGCCACCGAGTTTTCTGGTTGTATCTACAGGGTGATCCACTTCATCCAGGGTTAACCCTCAATGGCATGAATGGAGTTGTTGCATGTGTGAGGAATTTGCGCCTTGAAAAAAAACAACTCGGTGTATTTACTAAGAAAAGGGTAAAATTACCAAGAATACGCGAGGGTTAGGGGCACGAGGGTCGAGGAAAACTGGGAAGCCGCCGAGTTTCCCGGTTGTATCTACAGGGTGATCCACTTCATCCACGGTTAACCCTCAATGGCATGAATGGAGTTGTTGCATGTGTGAGGAATTTGCGCCTTGAAAAAAAAAATCTCGGTGTATTTACTAAGAAAAGGGTAAAATTACCAAGAATTCAGGGTTCTATTTGATCCCAGTTTTTTCTTGGTAAAATTACCATTTATGGAACTGGTAATTTTGCTGAGAAATCTCGGTAAAATTATTGAACTTTCTCGGTAATTTTACTGGACCCCGGTAAAAACGCCAATATTTTTTATTGACTGTGGTAGAATTACCGAGATAAAATGGCAAAGTTACCGGAATCGATTACCAAAACAAAAGGTATTCTTACCTGAGAAAAAACAGTAAAAATACCGGTTTTTAGGTAAGCTTACCAGTCTGTCTTGGTAAAATTACCAATAATTGGTAAAAAAAAAGTGAGATGGTAAAGGTACCAGCGGACCTTGTTAAAAACGCCGAGAATTTTTTTTCAGCGAAGAAAGCCGTCTCTGGCCAAGAATTCTCGGATAAATTCTTGCTAGTTGAATAGAATTCGAATACAACTATTGCAGCTCCTGAGGATCCGCGTTTGCCTATTCTCTCAATTGAAGGGAAATAAAGTTGTTTACAAAGAGAGCATGGGATGTAACGTTCGGACATTTGAATCGTTGAGAAAAAAAACGCACTACGCCGGAAACATGAAAATGTTTAGAGGACCCAAAAAACTGTACAGTAAGTGAACAAGTTGGTAAAGAAAACGCTCTTTGATCCTAAGGTCAAGTACGTAAGGACACTTTAAAAGTCCAAGTTGAGATACGTAAATGCGCCATACTTGATAAAAAAAAATGTTGGCGTTTAAAAGTTGCCGAGTTGGTGGGTCTCGTTCTCTACGACCATCCAGCTCTGATTTTTCCGGTGGCGTGGCGTGATTTGAGATGTATCGATTGATCTGCTCATTTGAACTTACTGGAATGGATTGATAAACAGGGTGTTCACAACGTACACCTTGATTATCGATCCATTACCACAGCTTAAAATGGGGGAATATTGATAATCGATGGGATCATTCATGCCTCGCCACTGCTGGAGGGTCCCCTTCTTTGACTTTCATAACTCTCCCATGGCAAATGACACCCTTTAGTCCAGGGGCGACTGGTAGTCGAAAAGTAAGAAGGAGACATTAATGTAAGGGCCCCTCCTGCCGTTCGGGGGCCCCTCTAAGGCGGTCCGGGGGCCCTCCTACGATACATTTTGAAAATTTCACACTTTTAAACATCTAGGCATTATTGGAGTTGGATTATACAGTACTTGAACTTCAAAATAACCCATTCTCAGCATTCATCGGGGGTCCCTTCATCACAAATGCTTTTGGCGACCTTTCAGGTCTCTTAGAGACAAATTTTCAAGGAATTCGGGGCCTTTCGATGACTCGAAAAAAAATTCACCGCGGGGGCCCCTTCGGGACCTACGCTGCAAATTGTTAGGGGGCGATCACCTCCCCGCCCCCATGGCCAGTCCGCCCCTGGCGGCACAGGAAAGCCGAAAAATCAAGCGAGATCGCTACTACAATATTAAGTTTCGATCAACTTGCTAAGGCGCAGGGATACAACTATTCGAACACTCCGGAACGCGTGAGGTTTCCCGCTTAAATTGAAGCCGTTTTCGAATCTTCTGTATTTACATGACGAGATTTTCCAAATTGTTTTGCATTATATTGTAGATTTGAGTTTTCTTTCTTAATTAGTGAAATTATTCCTGCTTCTTTATTATTAATTATTATACAAAAATTATCATTTTGCGAAAAACAACCCTGGCTTTAGCGCCCTTAATCTACGTTAGTTTTATGCATTTTATTGTAGATTTGAGTTCCTTTTGATATTTAGTTAAATTAATCCTGCTTCTTAATTTTTAATTATTATGCAAAAATTATCTTTTTGCAAAATACAATCTTCGCTTTAGCGCCCTAAAAACTACGGCCTGAAAAGTCAAAAATGCACTAGCGGCACAAGAAAGCCAAAAAACCAAGTGGGGACGTTGCTTCAATATTAAACTTCTATCGCCTTGCTAAGGCGCAGGGATACAAGTGTTTGAACTTTCCGGAATGCGTGAGGTATCACGCTTCAATTGAAGGCGTTTTTGAATCTTCTGTATTTACATGACGAGACTTTCCAATTTTTTTTTGCGTTATATTGTAGATTTAAGTTGCTTTTATTATTGACTTAAATTACTTCTGCTCCTTAATGTAGTTAAAGTATGTAATTCAGTTAATGTATACATTAACTAGTTAAAGTATACATTAACTGAAGCCGCCAGTTAAAGTGTGTAATTAAATTTTTATTACACACTTTAACTAGTTATTTCATAGAATAACTAGTTAATTCATGGATTAACTGGAACGTGTCAGTTAAAGTATAAAAAGGGAGGAATCTTTGAGCCCCACTTTCGGAGGACATCCAAACATCGCCTCAAAAGGGCTCCTTTTGATACCCGACTGGAAGACCCTGTTTTTTTGAAATTGGACAAATCTCAAACCTTGACTCCATTTCGTTGTTCCGTTGTCTTTACACCATGCAAAGACCATATTCTCGACGTCTTGATTTGCCCTCTCTACACTCCCTTGACCCTGACTATGTCTCGGTTTACCGTGCACAATTTTTAATTCAGCCCACATTTCCCTCAGACACTCTATCACTGAATTGCAAATTTCCCGGCCGTTGTCCGACTGTGATACCTACTGCTGGGGCTCCAAAAATCGTGAAAATGTATAGCAAGTTGTACGCAACCTCATCTGCTGTTTTTGTCTTTAAAGCTCGCAAACTAACGAATTTCGAAAGATAGTCTTGATAATTTAAAATAAACTTGAATTCACCATCAGGCTGCGACTGCAAATCAATCAAATCTAGTTGACAGCGACTATTTATGTTGGGAAAAATTATAGGTTTTACAACAATGCCCCTTTTCATGACATTCTCCTTTACCTGACAAGTTTCACTATAAAGTCTAAAAAATCTTAACTTGGGCTTGAGTAATGTTTTTATAACGGACATTCAGTTTGTGCATCATGAATGGCCGTTTGTTTTTGTTTTGATAATTTGACTTGATTCAATTGTGACTTTCACACTTTACCTGTGAGCCGCCCGTTATTCTAAAGAATAACTAGTTAAAGTTTGCAACCCACAAAAATTCTACACTTTAACTGG